CGGTGCCAGTGTGCAGCTCTGAAGGTCATGGGTAGCTCGCCGTAGAAAGGCACTATCACACAAAGGCAACGCGTGGAAACACCAGCACGAACGGCTGGAAAACGTGCTTCTCCGTGAAAGAAAAAAAGTTTCGATATCCTACTGACTGTTTTGTCCTATTGTCAAAAAATTAACAAAAGCTTCAAAGAGAATTTCAGGCACCGCGTTGTTGCGCGCATGCGCTTTCGGATTTTCGGCATTGTTCTTCAAGTTCATAAAAATTTGAGTTGAAATTTCGTTGCCTACAAAGTAAGCCACAGAAAACACTCGCCCGCAATTATTAATTCGGGAGCAATCTACCTTATAAGCTTAACAAATAATACAAAAAGGACATTTTCTTTTTAGCAAAGCTGACGAATTTTAATGATAATAAATTGATATATGTTACGCATGAAAAAAGAAGAAAAAAAAATCGGTGAGCTCCTCTCCGCATACGCTCAATGGCCGGTGAGCTTTTCTCCGCATCCGCCGGTTTTGCGGTGAGCTTTCCTCCGGTGAGCTTTTCTCCGGGATTCCTAACAGACAAGCATTTTTGGTTTTATTTCTCAGAACGTTACTGAATCAATTACTTAATGAAAGGACAATTATTGTTCTTTTTAATATTATTATTATTATTATTTTCATCGCTGCTTCCCGTCAATATCGCGTATAATCAGCTTAATCTGAGCGTGGATCACAACCCATATAGATAAATTCATCCTAATGTGGCTGATAGCATTTAGCTACTTAATCTATTAACAGCCAAATATGCCATGACATTGCAATATTTAACATAAAACCGCTTTAGCGTTAGCAGTGAACAACACCTTTCTTGGATTTTTACTTTTGTATATCTGAAAAACACTTACCACTGGAACGATGCACAATTCCCGGTTTGACAAGACTGAGAATCCATAAAGGTCATTAGTTTGACCTTGCCCATTACACAAACAATATGAAAGAGATAGGCACCGTCATTTCCTGATAACGTTTTTTTTTTGTGTTGGCCCGGACAAGGACATATTTTTCCTGAGTCATTTCACTTTTCAAAGCAGAATAGCAATGTTCCAATCCCCGAGGTGCGCACGCAAAAGGTTGCTTTAGAAGATCCGCGTTCGCCCTGAGATAAACGACGGCAGGCGGCCCTGTAAACCAGGATGCGGAAGCGACGATAGCGTGACTCTTTTGTAACTTTCCTCTGCGTCGTCATTAATGTCAAGTCCATCCGAGATACGAACGAACCAGGGTACCTAATGTGGGTCATTGTTCTGTTCAGATTGTAAGAAGTTAGTCAGACCTTTTGCAGATGTGTTACCTGACTCTACTGCGTAGTATGCAATGATTACACACCAGAGTGGTATCTTAACAATCGGCGTTCATTGGAGGGCGAGGGAATCGAGGGCGTCCAGATATCGCAACTTTGTTGATCGTGTGAACCGGAATATTGCGGAATTGTATAGCCTTCGCAGGGAACTGGGACAAAGCACACGTTCATGATAACTTCACCGAGATTTCATGAACACACATAAAAGAAACACTGTGGCTGCGGTCCTATTTATTTTTTCTTAAATTAACGGCACACATTTGGTTTTCTGGAACCCCAAATGTATCGAAATTTCACACCGACGTTCGGAAGGTTTTTGGGGAGCGCGGTGGATGCTTCAATACTCAAAGTTATGTAGGGTAATAACTGAAAACGAAGTAAATAATGGGAAAATTGGAGATTTTTGATACGTGTAACATTAGCGAAAAGCTTTATACGTTTTATTTCATTTTTAAGTTCAATGTTTTTATGGCTCGGTTATGACGCGATGTCTTAGGACGCTTGGGTTTAAAACACTCCGGTTCCCATCGTTGGAGAGCTCGTAATAAAAAAAAAAAAAAACTTCAAATATCCATCATAATGTTCTCGTGTCACGCCTGTCAATATTAGTTTTTTTTTTTTAATTACAGGAATAAAAGCAAATATAACTGCTATTACAGTACGTGTTTTGTATTTCTATAGGGACAAAAGTGCAAATTCAAATACTTGCGCACTATATTCTTGACTGAGCACCGCGAGTGAGCGTTGAACGTTTTTGCATTCACCGAGGCATGCACCGTGTTTAAAGGGACCATGAAATGACTTTTTTACTTTTTCCACATAACTTTTACAATACACCGTCAATGTTCACTGAATGCCGAACAGGCATCCGTTTTCGTCTCGGTTTATTAACTTCTACACAAAAAAGTAATGAAATATCGACTTTTTCTTGACCGCAAAACAAGCCGTGACGTACGATGTTTCCGGAACCGGAAGTTCTCTCTGCAGTAGGAGATGGGAGCGTTAGCGAGTTGGGGTGCGCCGGTGGGTTTTACTGCGCCGATGTCACCGACGTATTTTCTGAATCGGCGCCTCTCATCGCCGCATCGCAGCTGAACGAAATTCAATGAGATACGTTGCGCTACAGCGACAGCATGGGACTAGTCCCATACGCCGGTATGCCTGTTGGGAAGTGCAGATGGGAACAATTTGCCGCGGCGTTTTTCGCGGTCTCGGAGATGCAGGAGCGAGCCGACGTTAAAAAAAGATACGTTTGAACTGTCAGCAAGAGCCACGTAAATACCTGTTCACACTCGGAGCGGACGCGCGCGTTTGATGAAGAGCTGTATTCGCGCTGTTGGTAAGCGCTTCGGGACCGATCTTTTACAATTGCAACTCGATACTGACGCGACACTCGGCAAAGAAAGGTTGGACCGGTATTGCACGTATACCTCCCACGAACTGTTACAGCTCGACAGTGACGTGCAGTCTGTCAGAATAAAAATGGCATACCAATAACAAAGTGTACATACCGTGCTACGAAGGTAATCCATACAGCGTTTATTTCAGCTCTATATCACACAAAACAAGGAGAGGATCGACGAGGGCCCCTTTTCGACGAGTGTTCGTCAACACTGCCTCGGAAAACAAGGGGAAGAGATTGACCTCACCTCTTAACCTAAAATTGAGGTCAGCGATCAAACTATAATACGGAAGGGTCCACAAGGGTAGCGCGGGCATATTCCATTCAGTACGCCAGCCGGGCGTAGGCAGACGGTCTTGCGACGAAGCAACGCTGCGCCGAGTCGGAGTGCCTGCTAGGCCTATATTCTGAGAGTTTCGTCGGAGCGGGATTCGCGGCTGTTGTCGCTCTTCTCGGGTGTTTGTGGATCCAGCGTTCTTGTTCGTCGTGGTTTGTTTTAAGTACATTTCTTTCTTGCTGCTTGAAGTCGGCACGCGCGAGATGAACACGTAGAAAAATAAACGTTCAGTCAGTCAGAGTTTTGAGAGGAAGGAAACCAAAGGAAATAACCGTTCTGAACTTGGCCCTGCCCTACTGCGCACGCGCAGTAGTTGCTTCGTTTATTACACGATAGATGGCGCTTGGCTCTCAGCATTATCAAATTTGGCAATTTTCGCCACACATCTCTAATTATGCTACAAAATGTGGATCTGAATATTATTTAACAAATCTTTTAGGAAACATTCGCCGGCTATTTATTGTTTACGATCGCGGTGCTGGTGAGGTAGGCTCTTACCCAATAGGCGATGTGGATTCGGCTGACGTGCACCGATTCTGCGTATGCATCGTAGTGAAAAGGCAGAGCTTTCGAAGGAAAGAAGTCGCAAAAGAGTCCAGTTTTCTTTTAAAAGTTCAATAGCAAATAATTTTTTTTGGCTCCCTAGTCTTGTGTTTTTGTGTTCCTTTTCACACCTTTTACGACGTGCGGTGGATGAAATTCGACTTTAAAATCGTTTCATGGTCCCTTTAAATGCTTCAAACGTCACATGTGTTTCGAAGATCAATTAATTAAACAATTAACTCATCACATACGCTGGCACAGTTAGGACAAAAAAAGTATTTTGAAGATTACAAAAGAAAGATTACGTGAATAAGTGAACTCGAAACAAAACCCACCCAAAAACAAATAGAAGAATCAGTTACTATACACAAACGAAGAGAAATCTAAAAAATAAAAAGGAAGTTAAAAAAAGTTTCTTTTGTAACAGGTAATTGTTTGAAGAATTTTGAGTGTCCCTGTACATGGTCAAACTCGTAAACAAATTGTTTATACCAGCATATTTATTGTATTTCTGACGACTGAATATTTCTTTATTATTATTTTAAAGCTTAAATTGCAAGCAAAATAGTCCCAGACTTCGACTACTGATAGTTCAGCTTCTGGAATATCTAGTGGAAATCATAGGAAAGTAAACATTTTCATTATCAGAAGGAAAAGCTTCACACGATTCGATGCGAGGTGTGCTTTTTTGTGCGCTCTTATAATACAACGCAACCACATAGCTACTAGGGCAACGCGTGGTTTATAAATTACCGCGCAATGTCCTTTATCAGGAGTTTTTCTGTGAATAAAAAATATTCATTATCTCGCACAGTTAGATGTCTCTGCGTCCGTAGAACGTTAAGTAAAGTGTTTAAAGCAATATTAATGTTTTAGAAATTATTTAAATCAAATTGACCACACTCATTTTAAGAATTGCAACTTCTCATTGTCCCAAACGCCTCCGAGTCAATGGCGTTAGCCTGGGTCTAGAATACAGCTCGCCACCGCAGTCCTAGTGCGAGGTGTTTGTGCTGAAGCAGCTGAAGTAGTCACATCATCCCTGTTAAATGCATGAAAGCTGAAGCCGAGTCATCTTCTTTTGGAGCCTCAGTAAACCAACCACCCTTTTTTGTGACTTGAGATGTCTCTGTATGTTTGGGTTGCGCAAGCGAGGCGCCCATTTTTCACAACGCATCCAGCAAAATAGCCGAGAAAAAGAAGCCGAAAGTGGAAAATTATTTGTGATTGTTAAAGTGATTCACGCAACCTTTGAATATTATACAGCATCTAAGTATTACCTCAGAAAAAAAAAAAAAAAAAAAAACTCTAAAGAGCAAGCCGCACGAACCAGTTTGTTTTATCGCGCCATTAGCCAATGACGGAGTCACACTTACCCGCTAGGTTGGCACACCCGGGTACGATGGAGATGGGCCATGCTGCCTCTTGCCGCGTGACTCCAAAGTAGTCTACGATGTTGACGTAGACGACGCCCGCCGACCGAATCATCACCACCGTGAAGAAGTTCATGCACGAACATCCCACGGCCACCATCCAACTCCACGGGCAGTCAGGGTACAGGGTCTTCACCCTCTTGTGTTCCCCTGAGCGCGCAACTTGCGGGCTGGGAGATCCCACTTCGACCTCGCTTGCGGTCTTTCCGTTAAACAACACCGCAGGTTGTGTAAAAAAAAAAAAGGGGAAAAAAAAAGAAAACTTGTCAAGCGGTAATTTTGTTTAGTAAATCAATATGCAAGATGCTTAGGAGAATAAATTACTGCGATATGCTGAGAAAGCTCGGCGACAAACGAGACTCAAAACATGATTATAGACATACGAGAACAGTCTGTTCTCTGACACTTAGTATTACGTAAGCACGCTAACAAAAGAACGAGGACTATTTTTTTTTTAGGTGTAAACGTATCATTAGCGACGTCTTTCGCCGAGCTTCCTCCCGTCAATTGCAGCGATTGGTTCTCCCAAGTGTTCTGCGGGGAAGTATACGCTTTCGATTTTTTTGTTCAGTTTAAGCGAAACGTCATAGAAAGGGAAATAAACAATATTGAGCACAAAATAGTTAAAATGAAGTGACCAACAATTGTGAAAACTGTTATATTTCTTCTGCAATTATAGAAGGTGATTCCTACGTCACTACGCCACCTGATCTTTGAATAATATATTATACATCATAAAAAACCATCTGCATGTGTGTTACCCTCCCCTTTGCTCAAAACGTTTAAAATTTTTATTGGTGAAATCAATTCGTCAAATGGGAATGTCTGTCAGAGTCATTTAGCAACAGGCATGACTAATTATGTTAGTGGCGGACGCCTTTCATCCACTGATACTTGGCGCCCATTGGAGCATTAAGCCGGTCGACCCACCCATTGGTTGGGCTGATTAAAGGAGGGCAAATAACTGGTGAACATCATGGGGCAGAAGGCATGCAGGACTTAGCGTGTGCTGCATTGAAATCTTTGTTTGTGATAGTCGAAATGTGTTGGAGGTCCAACAAACGAATATGTGCCAATGTTTGAACAAATTTGTAGATATAGGATAAGCTGGAACGGAATGCAAACAAGAAAATAACAGGGGGCGTCCAAGCACAAACAAACGCACGTGTATTTTTTTCGATGGATTAATAGATTGTTAGTATGGAGAAAGTATTATTAGGGGCACAAACCGAAGCGTTAAAGCTTTATTCTAATCCGTATTTCATTTTATGTAATTATAGTGATTTTACGCTGGCCCATAACGAAGCATTGATAAGGTGTTGATACATCCACAGCGCAGGAGGAGGCTGCGTGATATAATTTGCACACTTTCAGCAGTTGCAACGCATCTCGTAGGCGTCAAAAAAAAGGCCGCCTTGCTTGGTTAGTGTAATCGCGTTATCTGGTCTCCATATCGGTCTCAATCAAGTAGAGGTACCAAGTAAAAGTGTGTGTGAAACTATACAAGAATCAAAATCAAACGTCAAACGCGTTTCACACCACTGACGGGGGTTCCCTTTACGTTTTCCTCTCAACAGATTCCCTGGCCCACTTCCCAAGAAGAGCGCCGGACCATGAATTAGCAGGCACTGTGGTTACCAGGCCCGATAGTAATCACACAAAAGCATATCAGTCCTTACGTCCATGTCTATAGTCACTTTTGATCATGGCGGATTGGTTCACAAGGACTGCGTACCACTTGTACAATCAGTACATATCTCATCGGGAGGTGCTCGACAGGCCGTGGAAGCGCGTTCGGCTTTTCCGACGGAACATTAAGCGCCGTCTTGAATCCTGCATCACCGATAAAGCACCTTTCTATAACTCGCTAACAATACGGGAGTGCTTGACAGATAAAGAGCTCCTGCGCTTCCATACCCGTCCTAAGGCCCTGAGCTAGCATCGTCGGCACCGTCCGAGTCTATCTTTTTTTATAAGAGCACTGAACCCTCGCCCAGGTCCAGAAGGCCACCAAACACTCTGAATGCCTCCAAGGTGCTGACACCCAGCATTGGTTTCAAGAATAGAAGATCTACGGTTGATAGTGTGCTTTTCCAAGAAGCCTGTTTTGAGGCAACTCTGAAGTTTCGAATGATCGGCCGTGTACACGAGTAAAATTGAATTGATTATTTTTTATTTCCGCAGTCCTGCACACGTTATCAAAAAAAAGTAATCGGTTACAGCTTGTTACAATAATCCTGATAACAAAGGCATCAATTCGATTACATATTAAAAACACCACAAGAAAAATAGGACGTGACACCAAAAAGTTATCGTTACCTTTCTGCCGAATTGTTACGTACTTAATGGGGCCTGGTTGATACGACTGAGAGAAATGTCTTCGTAAGAAACAAATCGTTCTAGTTATTATCGTAGAAGATGTCATCTGCAATGCCTCTGAACCTCTAGTGGACAGCTCCGGTGGGTGCTTCTGTTGCACACGCTATCGTGCGGCAGCCAGAACAACCAGGGATGCTTTCATCAGCAAGGAGCGGGCGCGAAATGTTGGGACTTTGAACACAAATGTTTTATCCTAATCTAGTTCGTAAAGGTTGGGTGGCACAAAAAAAAAATGTGGTTAAAAGAACAACTCAACGAGAAAAAACAAACATCTATATGGCTTAAAAAAGGCTGAGCAGTGTATTCGCAAGATCTGTAATTGCTAAGAAAAAAGCAGCTTTGTAAAAAATATTTGTATGTGTATACCAATTTTTCTTGGAGATCCGACCTCGTTTCATGTTGCGCGAACCCTATTTTTTTTTACAGTATACAGCACATAGAGAGACAACATAAATAGACAATAGACACAACATAAATACTACGCAGAGACGAAGCACAGGATAATATTTGTTCATGAAAAAGGGAATATAAAAACGTAGGGTTACTATCCATTACATTACTTCCGAAATTATAAGAATACTCGAGCGAGTAATTACTTCGAACAGATTTTAATCAAATCATTACTAAAATTATTTTAAAAAGTATATGGATACGAATTTGGCGGTAACAAAATCCATTACGTGGACGTCTGCTTTTAGTACACACTTTACGCAGTATTTTTCTCATAAAGTCTAAAGTTTAGTGCGCTCACTGTATACTATAGGCTTAAATCGAGCCTTTTTTTTAATATCGTATTTATTACAACTTTATTTTATTTTATTTTTTTTTGCTAAGGGGAGATATTTTTCTTTTATTTTATGTTTTTCGAGACTAAAGAAGTAACGTTTATATTAAACCGAAGGCTTGTTGGATTATTTTAAGAAACAAGCCAGCTATCATTTCATCTCGCAAAAAGGCAACGTCCACAACTCCTAAAAATGACGTTATATAAAACATTTGAATCTTAGCTTATGTGCTGCCAAGCAAGAATTTTCGGTGTGACTACGTGAATAATAGAAATGCGATTTGTGTTTCAGAAGGATATGTACAGAGCGCTAAGAATAAGAGCAAGAATTGTATTCAGATCATAAGCATGTTACATTTGCAGGCCCGCGAAAGCACTGGTGTGATGGTGTGGTGTAAGAGACTTCTGCGTAACCCGTTTCGCGCAAAGCGTTACTTGTACCCAGTTACTTGTGCTTAGTAACAAAATAACGACCTGGTTACTTCATAGCAGAAAGAACGAGAAACGTATTTTATATACGTTTTGATGAAGTAACGTGTAACGGTATTCAGTAACTCCTGGAGTGTAACGCTTACAATTAAACAAACCAACCTAGGTCTCACCCCTGCTCGAGTCTGTGATTTTCACGACGATTGTCACGACGATAAGACGCTAGACGGACCATAGATATATGTGAACAATTCACGAGTAACGCACCTGGTTACTTTCCGAGTAAGTTACGAGTGATGGTATTTAGTTACTTTATTTTAGTAACGAGTACATGTCTGGCACTACACAATACCAACATTGCAATTGCCGCATTTTTTTTTAGCTTTTGTCTCGCAATTGAAAGAGTGTCCTGAAAAGTAATTGTGTGGTAGACTGTTTCATCTGGGGGCCTTTGCCTTCTAGGCAGTATAATGTGTACTTCTCAATACCCCATGTGAGCAGAAAGCGAAACGGTACCGGCGTCATGTTCGCGATAACTGTGTCGCAAAGAGGGGATGTGTTATCATGTTTGGTAATCCATTGTTACGCTCGAAATGCATGCGTTATCGGAGGCTTTAAGTGGGCTTGATCCAGCTCCCACCGCTCGTTATGGAGTGACCTAGACACTCGTTCAGCAATATTTCCTAATATGCTGAATCACTTAGTAGCAGAGGTGATACGAACCATTTACATATTTGCCTTCCCCTACGGTGAATTTTGTTTGCGATGAATTGCGTATTGTAATAAAATATCTGTGTCATAAAAATATTAAGTACGCTCGGTGAGAAATTTTATGTCCAACAAAATACGTGCAACCACAATTTTATGCCGTCGAAATTTATCTTCATGCACATTCCAGCCACGGTTATAATGCAAATAAATGCAAAGGTGCAAGTGAGCTGGACAGGAATGACGAAAATAATCCCTGGAGAAGGGGAACAAAAAGGACAAAGGACAAACACCAATTTCCAAACACAGCTAAGTGTTTCGAGATTTGTGCCACTACATTTCGGCGTGCATAACTTCCTTGGGGGATGGATATTACAATTTGCAACCGGATTCAGTCGTTTCAGAACTATATTAAGCGTCCATATTTTTTGGAAGATTTACGTTCATAATTTACGGCTAATGCGACTAGAATTAAGCAGCCTGGCGGGAGCTCTATACCCGTTCAACAAAGAACGGCCGGATGCGAGGTACAACACGTCATTTCCGTCCGTTTAAACTTCGTACACGCGTGAAAACAGAGGACCGCGTGTTTCTAAGGGTAGACTTTAAGACGGCCAAAAAAGCGTGTCTGTCATGGCAACTCCGCAATAAAACACACACACAGACACAGCTTCTACAAGGTCCCTGGTATTGCAGCAAGATTGCGTCAGGCGTACACTGTATAGTAACTGGCAGTTTAAGAAAACTAAGCGCATTGCGTAAGTCCAGAGTACATGATTATTAGGCTCCAGCTTACGATACTGCGCCATTAGTTGATATGAACACCAATAAACTAATTAAAAAGCAAAACTCTTGAAGATCAAATAAGTCAAACCCTGAGATTTTTTTAGCCGTAAGTGAATATAATTTTACGCTGTCAAGCATACGGCGAGTCCACTTCATGCAATGCACTTGAAAGAGCCAATCGAGAGGCGAATGGCGAGGATAAAATTAAGTGGAGACAAAAAAAGACAACCTGCGTTGTTACACCGAGAATGACGCAAGCACGTGAAACGCCATTTTCAGTCGGACGGTGCAAAGTGTTTTTCTAGGTCTTTTTTTTTCAGACTCGTCATTCCCCGAGCTTTCTCCGCAGATTGCGGCGATTGACTTCCCCAAATGGTTTTTCGCGAATGTCGACAAACGAGATTTTTTTAGAGTGCATGATAAACACTGTGCTCTACTAAATCGGCTGGTACAACTAGCAAAAACAAAATCGATTCAACCTCATGACCTTACGCACAATCAAGACCACTCGAAAAAGATAAAGGACCCGTATCTGTTTGACTGACCTTGGCATCCATGTCTGCGACGATTCGGTTCAATTATTTCGTTGTACTCGATGGCCAGTGCACCTGTGGGAAAGCCTTGTCGTCGCCATCCACCGACGTCACCGTGTATGAGACTGCTCTTGCCTGCGTTTTCTTGGGCGGCGAAAGGGCCTCTCGCTGACGGGGGAGGGAGAGCGAACGCCTTTGTTGCGACACTAATTACTGATAGGATTTATAAGCAGAGTGACGGAAAGCAACCTGAGAGATAAGGGCTTTCACGTTCTCTCACTTCGGAGAGAATCGGCTTGCGTGTAGCGGCAGACAAAATACTCTACCGCGAGTAACGTGTGAGAGCTACTCCGATATGTGTAAGCCTAAAAGAAAAACAAAAAAACGCCCGATATCTTTGGACTTTGCCGATATGTGCAGCGTTCCGCGGCGTCGATGGTCGATAACGAGGAATGCCTATGATTGCGGGTATAAAATCTGGATCCTCTTTTTGAAGATGCATCATGGAGAGCTTCAGGGTCACTGTCAAAGAAGATAAGAATAACTCCCTGAAAGATGGAATGAATTATCTTCGTTCAATAAAAGCGAGCGCCTGATTAATTATGACACTTCCCACTAAAAAGCAGCAGAAACAAAAATGCGCCTTAGTTCTAGGCCACTCTTGACGTCATTGAGGAGCACGGGAACTTCCAATCCGGTTTGGTAAAACTATTTATTTTTTTCAATGACATTGTTTACATGCTTTAAACTTTAGAGTGATGTCTAAATATCTTGCCCAATTGTTTGGTAAAATAAAAAGGATGTTTCATATCCAATTTAAGCTTGGCGAACAGTCGCATTTCGGTGATCATGTTAGCTATCTTCCAGCATCGTCTGCTGAACCAACGCCACCTCAAATAGTCAGACGCTGTTAACAGCCTCCTCTATAGACCGTTCAATTATACTAGCGGCGCCATTTTGCCGAATGTAGCGCCGCCTAGGTTCACATGAGCACTCCGGAGCTCCAGAGCCGTTGGGCTGAAAAGAAGCCCAAACCGGCCCTCAGAACGTCGTACGCAAAATCAGAGGAGCCGGAAGTGAAGCAGCCTGTGACGTCAACGGTAACGTTTTCCTGCTCCCGCAAGCCAGGCTTAAGGGCGGTCCAAACCAAGCCGCAAAACGGGCCCGCAAAAAATGAAGAAAACAAAACCGTTTTTTTTTTTTTTTGTAACTTACGCTTGCCGTTGTAGCCGGGAAGGTTGCGGGAGTGTATGGACGAGAGCTTTAGTAACCTAGCGCTGGGACGCCGGAGAGGGTGAGTATGAAAGAGAAAAACGCACATGACGGGCGGGAGAAGTAGAAAAGGCAACCTTTGCAGGATTTTAAGTGGCTTCAACGGGAAGAATACAACAATAGCAACCACTCCTGAAACCTGCCTTTCTTCTTTTGTCGGGTTCTCTCTACTCTTTCTCACACTTAGCGTACAACGCTATCAATGCTACTGGCGCGAACTTGAGGCTCAATATCGTTGATCACTTGCAGGCGCGCTCGCGCGAATGAAACCATAGGCAAAACCACGCGCTCGCGCCTGTAGCTTTGACAGCGTTGCATATTAAGTGTGAAACGGAGTATAGACGCTTTGCAGCAGCTGTGCATGGACGCCGCCATAACTGACCTTCAGTTTTTGTTTCCTCTTATTCCGTTTATTTCACTTCATGATCACCATATAGCAGGCCAGGTTATTGCCATTTTAAGTGTTACTGAATCCTTTTCTAAAGAATCGGCCTTTGTAGAGGATCGTCAACTACCGTTTCGGTTGCTTGGCATCTCGGTACGACAAGAGAAGGTCAGCAATGGCGGCTGTAATTTGGCGCGTGTGTAAAGCGTCTATAAACTCGATTGACGCAGCCCCCGTTCCCCCTTACCCCACCCTGCCAAGGTCTCGCCTCTCCTTGCGGCTCTCTCCGGGGCCGGAAGAAGATTAATATTTTCAAGTTTGGACCCACAAAACGTCACGTTCACGTGACCGTTCACGTCGCACCTCTCCCGTCAGATTTCTCTGGGACCCGTTTTCTCCCGTTTTGCGGCTTGGTTTAAGCCCCGCTTTAAAAATACTGATCTCCGCCTGACGCCGGAAGACGCCGGATTTTCGTAGCGGCCAATAAGAGAGAGGAGACCCACCCTCTTCGCCTTCCCTGCAAACCTAGCGCGGGAACGAAGGGGCGGGAGGGGGGGGGGGGGGGGTGCACTTATTTTCTCTCGAGAACCCTGCAAAACAAAGACAGGAGGCTTGGCTTAAAGCGCAGTTGTTTTTGCCGCTAGTACGCATCGAAGCCACTCAACTATCCCGGAAAGAGGGGCTTTTCCCCCTCTCCATCCCGTGGAGACTAATCTGCTTTTTAAAGCAAAAGCTTTACGGGTGGCACTTCGCAGAGATGTCGACATCATCCGTTATCGTCGCCGCACGCGCGAAGGGAAAAAAACTATTTTTATCTCCGCTCTTGGCGCAATGCCAGGGGAGTCGGGTTTTCCCGTCGGCCGCGCACCACCGTGAGAGAGAAGAGCGGGGAGTCCCAGCACCCCGCCAGTAAAGACGCGACGAAGGGAGATTCTTCCTGTCGTCTGCTTGAAAGACTTGTTTTCAAACATTACTCGCGTTTTGCGAAATCTCAATTAGCCGTATCCAGTTGCTACGCTCAATGTTGGATGGTTTTAGAAACATCCACCGCGCTTACTCAGTTACATCACGGATCAACGAGCACTCGTGGCAATCGTCACTGGCATCCACGACGCCGACCACGATGGCAATCAGAATTAACCACGTCGCCCCTCCGTTTTCAGGCACGTGATGTCACCTTTCCACACGCATTGCGCGAACGTGCTACAGCCATCGCTTTCGTTTCTTCGCACATTATGGGCGCAAAACACAACTTTTTTCCCTTTTCGCGCTCAACCCCTCCTCCGCCCGTCGCCGGTGGGCTGGCTGTCTCTCTAGATCTCCCAGACTCATACGCACATATTCGCCCGTTCCTGGATGTGGAAGGTATAAAAAAAAAATGGGTTCTGTCTTGCACACTGTCCCATGCTACGTTCTGCGTGCTCCTTGGCCGACGGCCATCCGGGGACTCAAACCAGGACAGAGTGTGCCCACTCTTAAAAAAAAAGGGTGTAAAAGGGTGTATCGTTACAGCTTTTGTCCCATATAATATACCCAAAATGTATTTCGACGTACTGAGCCCTATAGTCGAACAGAGGGCCCCAAAAATTTACGAGAGGTTTGATAACGGTGCGATATAATTTATTGAATAGCTAAAGTACGTACCAAAGGAAACACCGAGTTTTTGCAGTAGGGCCAAGAAAACCCCGATTGTTATTTTGTTGTAGTCAGTAGAACGTGCATTAGCTATTTTAAAAAGTTGTACCGCACGTATATCAAGCCCCTGGTAAAATTTTGGGCCGTCTGTTCGACTGTAGGGTGCTGTACGTTGAAGTGAAGTTTTGGGATGTTTTATATGGGACAAAGGGTGTAACGATACACCCTTTTACACCTTTTTTCTTGAGAGTGCATTGCCTGGCGCACTAGTACCGATGGAAATCAAATTTGCGCTTCATATTCTTTCCTCAAGACTTGGTACTGTGGAATTTATTACATTAGCAAAACTTTATTGTTCGAAACATCTTTCTTTTTTGAAGTGCGAGAAGGCGGCTATTTCTTCCGGCGTGGCTGGAAGGATTGAAGCCGCTCAGACATTCTTTTCTCCAATATGCAGGCATTCCCGTGGCTTCCTTTCTTTTGATATTTTTTCCGGGGAAAAGGGGGGGGGGGGGGGGGGGGGTGGAAGGGTGTATTTTTGTTTTGTTTCCGCCTTTCGTTTGTCTTGGTGTCCATCCTTTTCTTCTCTTTCCCCGAGATGCTTTTCTCTGGAAGTTCTTTCAGGGTTCTGCTTGTGGGGCTCTGCTTGTGGGGTTGTATAAGAATTTGGTTTCTGAACAAAATTTTAAATGTCTAAGGAGAACTCGTCACAAGCCCGGTTGTCACAGGCCAACAGGTCATAGGTAAACTTGTCAAGGAAGCCAACTCGTTACAGGGCATCTCGTACGAGTAATTGTCGTCACGCCGGAATAATCGTCACAAGGAACACTCGTGTCACGGCGTAGAGTTTGACTGTAGAACTACGAATTTACTTCTGTTTAGTCCGATCAATTATTTAACGCACCGTGTTTGCAGCTGTGATCAAAACATCATTCTTAGAAAAAAAGGGGACCAAAAGGAGGTAACAGACCGCCTTTACCACCCTCTGCCCGGCCAGGGGGGAAGCGCTCCGCTTGTTACCTTCTCAGACGCAGCAGACACGAACAATGCGTTGCTATAAGGTGAAGTTCAACCCGAAGGAGCAGCAACGAGGTAAGTATTACCTTCCAGGGGGTGCACCTGTTTGGGCACTGCCAGAGTCTGGGCGCTGCGATTGGCTGTGGGAAAGCGCAAACGAGTTCGCTAATTGGTCTCCTTGTATGATACGTCATTCTTCGCCCATGCGTGGGAGAGCGCCTGCCCGGTGCCGAGCGCGTTCCCCGCCGACGCTTTCCTCCGGTCATAACGGTCTTTCTTCTCGAACGTTCGACGGAGGCGCCCCAGCGCAGGAACGTTCCTTTTTTGTTCTGTTCGGCTCAGTCTCTTCTTACGAAGTCACCTAGAGCGCTGCATTGACGTCAGCCGAAAACCCAAGTAGTGGGCACCGTGTGCAGGTAAGGAAATGTTCTGCGTGGGCGGCAGTTGGCGTCGGTTATGACCGCCCCGGAAAGGCGACCCCCGTCTTCCTTAGACAAAGGGTTGGCGGTCATGTTTGCAAGTTTGAAGGCATCGAGTGTTCGATAAAATTAGTGTGTGGCGCGAACGCAGACACGGTTTAGACTATCGAAGTTCATAAAGAGAAAGAACAGGAATGACTGTCACTTGTACTAGCGCATGTTTAGAAGGTTGACATACGCTAAGCAGTGGCGTAGCCAGGAGCTTTTCCCGGTTTATGCGTGTGCGGGTGGAGGAAGGGGGAGAGCGGTGACCCGGCGAGCCAGGAGCCGAGCGACAAGACGCCTTTTGAATCGGGGGTCACTTACGTTTAAGGGGGGTAGGAGGCCTTCTCTTTTTAGGGCCGTTGGTGTACCGCGTCGGACGTTAAATAAAGGATCTGATCAAATATTTGAAAATCTCATAAGGTGGTTGTTGTCTTTTTGTTTTCGCAGAGCAGTAGTCGATCAGGCATTCATTGGCGGCCAACCGGCACGGTTAATTCTCAACGTCGTTGATATCTGTAAAAGTCAGTTAAACACTGATTTTTAATATCAACATATTTTTTTTTAATTTAATGAGGTTTAATAAATAGATTGGCAAAATGTCACGTTTCTCTGAAATACCGAATATAAATGTCTGAGCTAATTATTCGTGCGCTTCACAAACATTAATAGTAGCATATTACG